AAAAATATTTTTCACTAAATATACATTACTAGCTGTACCCACTGGCTTTGCCCCGTTTAACTTCATATGTGAGCTCGTTCGCATGGCTCAATCACGTCCTGGTTGAAGTTCGTTCGCTACGCTCACTCACCTTTAGGTTGGAGCTCGTTCGCTGCGCTCACTTGCCTTCAGGTTAGCTCGTTCGCTACGCTAACTCGCCTCCGGATTGAAGTTTGTTCGCTACGCTCACTCACCTTTAGGTTGGAGCTCGTTCGCTGCGCTCACACGTCCTGGTTCAAGTTCGTTCGCTACGCTCACTCACCTTTAGGTTGGAGCTCGTTCGCTGCGCTCACACGTCCTGGTTGAAGTTTGTTCGCTACGCTCACTCACCTTTAGGTTGGAGCTCGTTCGCTGCGCTCACACGTCCTGGTTGAGGTTCGTTCGCTACGCTCACTCACCTTTAGGGTAGGAGCTCGTTCGCTGCGCTCACTTGCCTTCAGTTTAGCTCGTTCGCTACGCTAACTCGCCTCCGGATTGAAGTTCGTTCGCTACGCTCACTCACTTTTGGTTTAAAATTAGCTGTTGTAAAATATTAAAAAAAAATAATAGTGCTGCACTCTGTTGGTAATCCTTGTAACTTTAATGCTATTTAACATCATAGAACAGAACCAACTTGTTTAATTGAAACAGCTGTTAAGATTCATTAATTCTATTTAAATATGAGTACTCATTAGGTTAACATGGGAATCTCCAGAGCCACTGGGGTGGAGCCCGAGAGTCCGATCAGAATAAAAACCACTTAGTTTTCCTATTTAATGCCTAAAGAATCAGTGTACCAAATTTCAGCCTTCTAGGTAAGTGGAAAGTGGGAGAATTAGTGATGAGTGAGTCAGTCAGTGAGGACTTTGCCTTTTATATAGATATATATAAATACAGCTATTTTTAAAATAATCATAGGAATTGTTGAAAAACAATAGTGTAATTTGTAAATAGGCGACAAGTAATTTTGATCACCACTGTGACAGTTAAATATTTACAAACAAGTAATAAAGATGATAGAGCTTTAATGCATGATGCACAGTTACATAATTGAAATCATATCCTGTATGGCAGCCCATCACTGGATAATGTGTTAAAATAATTTTAGTTATATTTTTAAGCTCTAACTTTTTTTGTACCTAATATTTAACCATCCCATAACTTCCACCTGGGGACGTAGCAAGGCATTAGAGGCAGTGGCTCCTGCAAAGGGCGCAGTAAGCATTAGGGCACAAAATTGCCTTTTAATTAATTGTAAGAATAAGTCTGATAAAAGATTAGTCCTACACACTTCCGGTTTCTAGCGCGCAACTTTCAGATGAAAATTGCTTACATCTATACAGGGTGATCAACTCAAGGAGGCCACGGGATATTGGAAACTGTCAGAATTAGAGAAAACTTTAAACAGATGACAGTCCTTTATTTTTTGTGGCAGTTAAGAATATGAATTTAGTTTTTTGAAATTCAACCGCCATTTTCCAATATGGCGCCCAACTTTGAAATTTCTTACAGACCACTCTATATTTTATCATGTTTTTGGATAGAAAATGTAATTTAAAACCTTTTTTGTTCATTACATTTTTTCTAAAAAGCTACTTGTTTAGGAGCTAAGGCGAAGAAAAAATGGCTTCCGGTGTACATTTAGCATCATATAGCTCGTAAACGAGTAAGTTTAGAGCGAAAATGGGTAGAAAAAATTAAGACTTAAAACTGCATCCACATTCCATAAACGACCTTAAAATACACAATTTTCCATTTTTCAAGTTTGCTACCATTTTGGATGATAGCGGCTCTTTTAAATAGTAGAATTAATGTTTTTAAAATAGTAAAATTATAATTTTTTAAATAAAATTAATATTTTTTAAATAGTAGATTTAATATTTTTGTTGTATTTTATGGCAGTATATGAAATTTTAAGACTTATTTACTCTTCACATTTTTGCTCTAAACGTGCTCGTTTAGGAGCTACATGATGCAAAATACACACTGGAAGCTATTTTAACTTTGATTTTAATGTCAAGGACAAAAAAGTTTTTAAATTACATTTTTCATCAAAAAACATGATAAAATATATATAGGGTGTTCTGTAAGAATTTTCAAAGTTGACCGCAATATTGGAAAATGGTGTCTGAACTTAAAAAAAATTAATTCATATTTTTAACTGCCACAAAAAATAAAGGAATTGTCCCCCATTTAAAGTTTTCCCTATTGACTGTTTCCGATATCCCAATGTTGGCCTCCTTGAGTTGATCACCCTGTATACCAAACATTAGTTTTAGTTCTCAATAGATCACATTGTTGCTAGCTTTTAAAAGAAAACAGATAAAAGGAAGAAAAAGTGGTTACGCTAACTTTACAATTAAGGCATTTCTAACGTGCATTGTTTTCTGATAAAATATTAGATATATATATATATCATTACCGGTAGTTCCTTGTTAATTCTCGATAGGTCTCAAATTTTAATGTTGGTTTTCAAACAAATAACAAGGCTATAAGCATAAGGCATTAAACGTGGTTACACCAACTTGACACCTAAAGAACCTCCAGCGTGCACCGTTCTCTGATGAGAAATGCTTGTATCTATGTAGCAACCTCTAGTTCTTCGTTAGTTCTCGATAAGTCTCCAATATTGTTGCTGGTTTTCAAAAAATTAAGAAGTGATAAGGCATAAAAAGTGTTTACGCTAATTTCACAATTAAGGCACTTTTTATGCCTTGTAACTTTGTTATTATTTGAGAACTAATATTGGAGAACTATGAAGAACTAACAAAAAACTAACAAATTGGCATGTATACATTTTTCATCTGATAACGGCACTTGCTAGAAACCGGAACCATGAAACTAGTGTACCCATTTATTTAACCCATAACATTTTAATTCTTTGAGAACTTACGAAAATATTGGGGAACTATCGAGAACTAACAACAGGTAGGAACAAAAGTGGATAGGGACGCGAAAGGTATGACAACTTCAAGGACTATGTGCCGTCAGTATCTTTATAGTTGTGTAGACAGGGGCGTCGCCTTGGGGGGGGTAGGGGGGGGAGCCTCCCCCCCTAGAATCTGGGAAAGAGAAAAGTTGGGAATTTCCTTGCCACGAGTTGGGACAGTTGGGAAGTCAGATACAAGAAAAATATATTTTTAAACTGAAAAAAAATTAAATATTTGCGAAAATCCATCAAAGATAAAATTTCTTTGACTTGGACAAAATACTTGGACAAATAAACTTGACATTTCTTAGATTTAATTTAACTTTGATTAAACAAGGCTAAACCATGGCTAAACACGCCTTATTTTAAGAAATCAATAATCAAATAGCGGTATAGCTTGTTGGAATTTCGTATACGAGAATTTTTGTTCCTTATTGGACTATGTTGGCTACCTTGATCCTGTCCTGTGTTGATGATTCTGAATGATTCGTCTGCGAGTTTGAATTTTGAAAGTGCAATCAATGTAGCCCTTCTGTTTAATTATGTTGTTTGTTAGTGTTTACAAGAAATTCAAAAATATTTTTCACGTCAGTCACATGAAATATATTTTATACCCTTTTTGTGGTATTTGGAGCAGGCTAACTGACCGGAGTACTTGCTAATAAGCAGATTAAAATAACATTTTTTTTTTTTTTTTGTCCTAGGACGCTAGGCACGAGCCTGGGATTGTTTTTCACATTACTTCAGGCTAGACCTAGGGGTTGCGGCATTATCACTTAGATAAGATCCATTGGTGACTTGGCGGGGATCGAACCCGGGACCTCACGGACCGAAGTCCCGCGCTCTAGCCACTACGCCAGCTCGCTCCCCTGTTATTAAAATAACATTAAAGATAGGTTTTGTGAATCTGTATTACCTTTAAAACTCTTATTTTTTAATAACCTAAATGCAATATTTATTATCTGAATATATTTTAAAAATCTACACAAGTTATGTATCATTCCTAATTAAGGATTTACAAAAATTAATCAACTAATTACTCTGAAACAGATCTACGTGGACAAAAAATAGCCTAAAATTTGATGTTTGACTATCACTCTAAGTTTGATTTTTGTTTAAGTTCTAGTTTGATGAAGATGAAGGTTAACATTTTTATTGTATGTATAAGTTTATTATCAACCAAGTTGAACGTTTTTATTTTATACGAGTCGAGTCTTATTTTAGGTTTATTCTTTTCTAGACTAGAATAATATTATTCACAACACTGATATTAATATTTCATCATTACAAACTTGTTTAGGCCTACCCTAGTTGTAAGTTTTATGAATGTTAAAATGTTGATTTTAACTTCTAAAAGTATTTTAATTTAATTATTTTGTAATAAAATATTTTTTCTATACTACTTTGTACTCTGAGGCTCATTTTATATCCCTAAAATTTTACACTGCTACGTCTGCTACCACAATGGTTTGTAAAGTTTTTTGAAACATTACTTGTTCAAGTTTTTTGAAGTCATAACATTTCATTATGAACTGGTAGAAGTTTTAGAAATTTTGTATATATGTAAAACTAGCTATGTTTTGTCAATGCAAGTTTATACATACTGAATTGAATGTTAATGCAGTGTAGTATAATTTGTAGATTTTTAAAAATAGTACAGAAATTGATTTCTAAAAAAAAATTGTTGGGAAATCTATGTTAAGCAGTTGGGAAATTTGAGGCTTCTCCCCCCCCTAGAATTTAACCAAGCAACGCCACTGTGTGTAGACTTGATTTTGGAAATTCAAACAAACAAAAAATAATAGTGCAGCGGTGCAGCACAATGTTGTAAACAAAAATACTTGTAGTCACCTCTAGGCATTTAGCTACAGTTAGTGCAGTTGTATTGAACATGACCTAAATTTGCAGTGATTATGAAGAGCTGTTAAACAATTGGTTTTGGTTAGTATTTTTACAATATGATCAGAGTAATTAAACTTTAATTGTTATATATTACTAACCCTTTATCTAATGCTATTTTCAGAATACCATCCTAAGTCATACAACTCTTCTAATTCTGAGGAGGATAGAGTTTCTTCGCCATCATCTTCTGAAGTATCAAGGATCAATTCAGACTCGGACGAAGGTAAACACTTTGACTTTAATGTCATATCAAGAATAAAAAAGTTTGTAAATTTCATTTTTCATCCAAAATCATGATAAAATATATGTAGTTCTGTAAGATATTTCAAAGTATGCAGACTAAGTAAATTTCAACTTGTCTGATTACATTTTTACAAAAATATTTTTATAAGTAAATGAGACTTATTTATTCCAAATTTAAATTACATTAGATTTAAAGAGTGTTTAGGTTCAGGGCATATTTTAAGGGATTTCCACTGGGCCACAGTGGCGCCGGACTTACCTGGGGTCTGGGGTTATAATACCCCCATCAAAAAGGGAGGTCCGAGTGTTCCCCCACTCGTTCCCCCAATTCATTTGCATAAATTGAAGTGAAAATCACACATTTCTACGTATTTTTAAATGAATTTTCCGATTATATTTGCTTGTAAATAGTCCATATAATCTCAATTAGTTACGTATTCTAGAACGTTGTAACAGGCCAAGGCTCCCATCATTTTGGCTCCACCAAAATTTGGCTCTTGGGCCAAAATCATTTATATAGCTAACTTTAAAATAATTACTTAATGTTTTTTTTTTTAAATTCCAATACCGCCCTACATTTAAAATGTGAATTATTAAAAAGAATATGTATGTACTTGTTCAAACTATACATATAATTATGTACATCACGCTTAAGATTATGCCGCAAACAACTTTTAGTTACAGGACTAAGACTATTTTTGTGAGTAAGTTTCCTTTTAAGGCTAAGCCACCGAAAGCTCGAAGTTATTTCTGTAGGTGGCATGGTAAGACCTAGGCCCGGGACCGATTTAATTTTTCATTTTGATGTGCCCAGAGGCCAAAAACACCATCCGTTCATATAGATTTAAATATGTCTGTAAACGCGATAACTGGAGTAACTTTTGTTCTATTTTGAAGAAATTTGGTTTTAAGGTGAAGGGTGGGATAAATTTGAATGAGTTCGCGAACCAGCATGAACATACTTTGGGAATGGGGTTTTATGTGCCAAAAAAAGTGGGGTTGTCATTTTTGACCCATAAAACTAAAAAAAATCACAATTTCTCCCTAGACAATTTTAATCAGCTTAAAAACAAATTATTTAGTATATTTAAGTGTTTTTGTACTGTTATTAGTTATGGAGAAAATAAAAAAAAGAGTATATTAAAAGTTGCCATGTTATTCTTATAGAAAATGTTGTTAAGTGTTGGAATTTGCTTGTGTATGGATATATTTTGATTAAACTTGGCCAATTTGTTTTATACTAAGCTAATAATACAGTATTTTACTAAAAATAACAACTAGCATTATTTGACCTTCAGCAGGGGACGGCCCACGAGAAGTAGGTACATTGGTAATCTTTAATGAAGCATAGGTTGATACGCACATCATTTTAAAGGTCTGGTTATGTGGAGTTCATTACCAAAAATCGCGTCAAAAAAGGTTCATCCATTACAAAATGGCGGCGGTCCAAAGTTCTTGCGGAATATACCTGCAGAGGCCTTAGTATTGGTAAACATTAGCAACATTAGCAGGGAAATCTGAAACCCGGTTAAATTTGTTTTGACGATTGAATAATATTAGTCTATGAGCTAGTTGACTTTAAAATACAGTTTAAGCTCTCAAGCTAATGTTTAATACGAGTATTTGCCCATACTAAGGCCTGTGCAGGTATATTTCACAAGAACTTTGGACAGCTGCCATTTTGTAACGGATGAACCTTTTTGGACGCGGTATCCGGCAATGAACTCCACTTGACTAACCCTTTAAAATGGTGTGCACATCAACCTATGCTTACATTAAAGATTATGTACCTACTCCTCATGGGTCGTCCCCTGGTAGAGGTAAAAAAATTGCAATGCTTTGAAAAAGTAGTTTTCATACATGTAAGTTGATGTGAAAGGTTTGAATTTTCTAACGGATTTAGTTAAAAAGATATTAAACCGTTTCCAGACTTTTTTGTCACCCTGTATAGAGTTTACCAAATTGTAGTCTTATAGCAGGTCTGTAAGTTGGCGAAATCAGTCAGTGTGACAAAACAGTCAGTCAGTCAGGGCTTTGACTTGTGTAAGCTATATAAGCTATTGCTGCAGGTCGCATGGTAAGACCTTGGACCCGGGACCAATTTACTTTTTCATTTTGATGTCCCCAGAGGCTAAAAACACCATTTGTTCAAACTGTTCAAACTCAACTGTTATTTGTTCATACATACAGTATAGAAAATTGACAAAGTATGATGGCAGCCACCGACCAGCGACGCAGTTCTTTAGTGACGTGGTCACTGAGAACAAGGTGAGTACGCGGGTGTACGGGCAAACTTTAATTTTCGTCTAAGGATATTTGATGTTTCTGTTGAATATAGGGTATTTTGCCACCAAAAATCAATTGGATTTGGCCACAACCACAACACTGGGAAAATCCGGTTTCTGTCCTATCAAAACACCTATTACAGGTTATTTTATAATATATATTTTTTTATAATACTAAGAACTATATAACAAGATAATATGACCAAAATGATTGATGTATTTTTCAGATGATCCTGTGGCTCCTCTACAACCAAACGTTACCTATTATCGTTGTACATTATCTAGCCCTACTGTTGAAGGGCTGCAGGTTCACGAAATACAACCGTATTCTGTGGATCCTCTACAACCAGACGTTGCTGCCCATTTCCATTTAGCTGTTTCTGGTAACGGAGAACTGCAGCTTCGTGAAATATGGCGGCTTAATCGCGGTGGTAATATTTTATTTATTATTTTGAAAAATGAGTTTATATAATAAACTTTGCCCATTAGACAAAGTAACAAAAAAATTTAAATTTATGATATAAATAATATGTGACTTAGATTAATAACGTTGTCCATATAAATGATTTTGAATGATTTGATTTTACATGATCCTTTTAACACTTTTATGACTATTTCATTTTTTAATTTTGATGGAAGATTATATTTATTTCATTCGTCAAAAAACAATTTTTATAGTCCATCTTGCACCAATCATTATGCCAATTACTGATATAGAATTTAGATTATATTTGTTTCTTAAATAAGTTTCACATTTACTATAAATTTTCCTCTTTTCTTTATCTACTTCTATGAGTTGGTTTGTTGATGTTTCAAATTTTATAGTTGGATCAATTACAATTCCACTTTTAGATTTTGCATCATATATTGAAATGTCCAATCTTCTGTTCGATACACCATCATCAATGCAATGTATTTCTTCTACTACTTGCCAGACTTTTTTCGTAGTTCTTCGGCGATCATTGCTCTTACAGCATGGTGTCTTGCATTACACAGTAAGGCACTAAAGGGACAAGAGCCAAGGACATGCGGAAGGGTTTCAGGCTCCTTGCAATGTCTGCAAAAGGTTCCATCCTGGCTTCGCCCTGGTACGCTGCGTACTGGTACAACATCTGATATCATTTTTAATGAAGTGATCCATTCTCCTGTAGTAAGGCCATTTTTTAAATATATCCATGTGTTGCTACTAGGCACTTCTTTGAATAATTCTATTCCTCTACCTTTACATGGTAATTTAGACCAAAGTTCAAATTCTTTCAACTGTAATTTTGATCCCAAATCCAAACCAATTCTTTTTTCTCTTCAAATTCAAAATCATTTGTAAAAATATCATCAATTTATATCTCAAGTTTTTGAAGTGACATGGTGAAGTGACATGTACTTATAGAACTTTCCAATTTTGCTAGAATTATTCCCAGACCTTTGAATCTTTTAGGGGAATAGAAGAAAGAATTGGATGTGTCACTTGGTAGAGTGAGAATTTCTTTTACTGCACTTCTAATAATTTTATCTATGTCCTCAAGAAATGTAATACTTATTAATTCGTTTGGTGTTACTTGCAAAATATATGTTAGTCTAGGCCAGAGGTACTGAGGCCAGAGGTAATCCTTATTTCTGACTGATTTATGATATTCAATTTCTGATTTGGACCTAAAAAATTTATTCCAACTAATATTTTGAGATCTTTTCGAAAGTTTTGTATAACTTCACACCTATCAAATACTATTTCATTTCAAAATGTACACCAAAATATTTAATTTTTCCTTAAGTTTTAGAGTATTAAATTTAATTACATTTTGTTAATTTTCAATCTAGATGTCATCTTCAACAGGTTTACCTTTTTTAATATTAATTATTTTTGATTTATTTATATTAATATCAAGGTCAATTTGAGAACGTAGTTCTTTTTTTGTCCTAATCAATTTAGACATTGATTTTTCTGTGTTAGAGAATAACACTTTGTCATCTGCAAAGGCAGCGATGCAAATATTGTCTAAATTAGAGATACTTTTTTACAGAAATATTATTTATAGCTAGATTAAAAAAGATTGGAGAAAGGGGAGACCCTTGAAAAACTCCTCGTTTCAATAAAAAAATTTCAGATTTGGTATTTTTAATCCTTATTTTTGTATAGTTATCTTGTATTAAATTTATTAATAAGTTTTTTTAATATTGAAGGCATTTCTGTTGATTGAAGACATCTTTCAAATGTGCGTTACCAATAAAATCAAATGCCTTTGAAACATCTAACATAGCAATCATACAGTCTTTTTTATTCGTTTATGCATCTTGTAAACAACTATTGACCAGGGCTAGGTTTATGAAGGCTCCAGGTTGAGCTACAAACCTTCTTTGGTTGACATTAAGTTCTATATAATTTCTTGTTCTTTTCTCCAGCACTCTCTCTATCAATGTTCTAAGAGTTGAACAGACTGAAATTGGTCACCAATTAGCAGGATCAGCAGGATCATTCCATTTATATATTAAAATTGTTTTTGCTTTCCTAAAACTTTCTACGACTAAATTAAATTTCAACATAATATTTGTAAAATTACATATTGTTGGGATACAATTGTTTGTCTTTAAGGTTCTTATTAGCACTCTGTCAGGGCCAGGTGTATGTCAATCTTCATTCCTTTCAAGGCCTGTGAAAGTTCTTTACAGATAATTTTGACTTAAACCTCTGTGTCTAATGAGTTTTGTAAAGTTTCATCAATTATTTTATATGAATTTGACATTCAATAATTATTTTTTGACCATCTGTTTTGAAAGGATTCTTGTAATTCTCTTATTGGAATATTACATAGTTTCTGTTCATCAGAAAGTACAGTTCTCACAAATTATTTTCTTTCATTGTAGTATAAATATTGAATCAGTTGATTATATTTCTCTCGTCTTGTAGCTCGATCACGTGTAGATCTTCTTTGAGGATTTGATGTTTCTGAATACTTTTTGTCATTGTAGGCAAATGTTGTTAAATTTTTCCTAGCCTCATACAATTTTTGTGCAGGATGTTTTGGACCATTAAGAATATTATTTGCTTTGGTAAGTTCTGATAAGTTTCTGGTAAGTTCTCAACTACAACTGAATTTAAGTATTCAATGCTCGGTGTATTTTCACTATTTAAAATTATATTAAATGTCTTTTCAAATGTGTCTATTTTATCTTGAATATTTTAACTCACTGAAGGATTGGACATTGTTATTTTGTCTTCATTATGTTGTAGAGAATTTTTGTCTTATTACATGTATATTTTTTTATTTTATTTTTATTACTTGTGTTGTTGACTATTTTGTCTACTATCTCTTTCCTTCTGTTACGTATGAGTGTATTTATTTAAAAATTGAATATTAAAAGTGATTATTCATAGGTAAATTACGAAGGACCACCGCAAATTACATTGCGGAAAATAATAAGAAACTTGAAAACATGTACCTTTACAAACTCCAGTGCAGACGTAGGGGGACGGGGAAGTGGGAAAAATGGCGTATTTGAACTTCAGATTAGTGTCGGCGCTGTGACGAACCCTTGGTAGTTGGATGTTGGATGAGACGATTTTTGCTCTTCTTTCTGCTTGAAGGCTTGATGTTCGCACGTAACGCTAAGTCTTTTATTGTTCGTGGCCACTTTAATTACACGGAAGTCGCGACACCGCACAGGACACTTTGATTACTTGATGGTGCATGATTCGTGAGTTAATAAAACGCAAATAAAAATACTACTTGTCACTAAAACAACAAAAATAACTTCAGAACAAGATTGGGCAATATTAATTGCAATAAAAATGAAAACTGAAACAACTTGATGAAATAATGTAAATGGAAATAAGATTAAAAGAGGTGGCCGGTACTAGACCATATTAATAGGGCCGTGGACAGAGAGAGAATGACCAGGATACCTGTCTGAGGCGAACGACAAGCGATAAGGACAATGACATGAATAGAGCGATAAGATTGTTGTCTGAAGATAAAATGGACTTGGGTTCTGTGGCTTTGGTGTTTGGCATTACCATTTGTTTTTAATATAAAATAAATATTCTTCTTTTGAATTAATATAAAGTTAATAGTTCCTTTTTCCTTCTAAATACTAAACATACAGGGGGCCTTGAATCCTCCAGGATTCAACAAATCAACACAAAGATAATATTCCAATAAAATAAATCTTCTTTCCAAAGTGGTTGAGAAAAAATACTATTTACAAATTAAAGTTCTTGAAGTTACTCTTGATAAGCAGGCAAAGGAAAAACCTTGTGAGCTGGTCGAGTCAAGAGTCCTTGTTGAGTTTTCAAGTGGACGACCCGTACAACCTCATCCTTTCCAGGGGAGACACCCACAATCCGAGCTAACGGCCAAGAAAGAGGAGGAGTAGGCTGATGTACTAAGGCGAGGTCACCAATGCGAAGATTGGAATTTTGTTCAGTCCATTTAACCCGCTGATGGAGGGTGTGAATGTACTCCAGTTGCCATCTCTTCCAGATGCGTTGATTTAGGGCCTTGACCAAATGCCAGTGTTTCAGGCGATTATCAGGAACATCTTCCAGATTTTCATCAGGAACAGAGACAAGTGGAGCTCCGACCAAGAAATGTCCTGGAGTGAGCGCAGTGACATCTGAAGGGTCGTTTGACATTGGTGTGAGAGGTCTCGAATTAAGTATCGCCTCCACTTGAGTAGTCAGGGTCATGAACTCTGAGAGGGGTAGGACATGTTCGCCGATGACACGGCGGAGGTGATGCTTGGCACTCTTAACGGCTCCTTCCCAGAGACCACCTTGGTGAGGAGCAGCTGGGGGGTTGAAATGGAAGGTAATGTCTTGGTTTGAGGAAAATTCAAGAAAAGATGTTCGTTCAGCTGACTTGAAGAGAGCTTGAAAGGCGTTATTAGCACCAACGAAGTTTGTCCCGCAGTCCGAATATATGTTCTTGCAGAGGCCACGTCTTGACACAAAACGAGTTAGTGCAGCAATGAAGGCATCAGTTGATAGGTCAGTAGCTACTTCAATGTGAACAGCCTTTGTTACAAGGCAGACGAAGATACAAATGTACGCTTTTGTCAAACGTATTGAACGGAGGTTATGAACCTTGATGTTGAAAGGACCACCGTAGTCCAGCCCCGTGTTGAGAAATGGACGAGAAGGTGTCACTCGGGATTTTGGGAGATCACCCATCAGTGGAATTTTATTATGTGGTTTGTGTCGAAAGCAGATGACACACTTAAAAATTCGAGAGCGTATTGCGCTGCGGGCAGAAAGAATCCAAACGCTTAAAAGAGATTAAAAGAGGTGGCCAGTACTAGACCATATTAATAGGGCCGTGGACAGAGAGAGAATGACCAGGATACCCGTCTGAGGCGAACGACAAGCGATAAGGACAACGACATGAATAGAGCGATAAGATTGTTGTCTGAAGATAAAATGGACTTGGGTTCTGTGGCTTTGGTGTTTGGCATTACCATTTGTTTTTAATATAAAAAAAATATTCTTCTTTTGAATTAATATCAAGTTAATAGTTCCTTTTTCCTTCTAAATACTAAACACCTTCCATTCTCTGGATGAGATTTGGTAACGTGAATTTTAAGACCCTTCACTAAAAAATTGAACATTTTAGTTTTTCCTTACCTGTGATATCAATGCTAACACTGCTGGTATCTGTTAAGGTGTTTAATTGTGAATCATTCCTAGTCAATCTTTTTTTATTATAAGGTTGAGATCTTTTAAAAGTTAGGCTATGAGATATAATATCTTTTGTTAGAACAGTATGATTTGTAAACAGTACAGTTGACTAATTTTCATTGCTGTCTGGTAATATCTCATCATCACTGCTTCCGTCAAGATATGAGTAGTAAGGCCGTACATAGAGGGGGATCTCTTGTTGCTGGTATTACCTGTGCCATTCTGTAAGGGTTATCAGTAGATGGTCCTGCCTCAGAAGAGTGGCACGCTATTGTAGTTACCTTATTATGATTTTTAGATTTCTGGTTGACCTGTTTACTTGGTAGATTTGATTTTGAGAATTTTTGATCTGATAAATCTTTGTGTGAAGCTTTAATGTGTGGCTTTAGTCGATTGAAATATTTTAGGCAGTAAGGACACTGTTCCTTGCTCATAGAATCATTTTCAACTGTGTATGAAAGGTCCAGGATTTGTTTATATATCGCCACTTAGTAAAATTAAAAGTAAAATAATGTAACATTGACTCTCTACAACACTTTTTTCCATAAAAAGGTCTCTTAAAAAAATGCCTCCTTAAAAATATCACATTTATTCCTTATATTAAATAGAATGAATTTAACAAGAACTTGGGTTTATTGCAACAGGGAGGGCAAGAGTTTTTTTTATTGTAAAATATTAACAGTTTAGTAAGAAACAAATGCATTTTCCAAATTTCATCAAAATATGTCGATAGGCAAGCAAACTACAACAGTTTACTTATTCTCCATAAGAATAAGATGAAAACTTTAAATTAACATTTTGTTTATATTTTCTCTGTAACAATTAGGTGCTTAATAACGCTTTAATATACTAAATTATTTATTTTTTTTAACTCTACAAAATGGTTTAGAAAGAAATTGCAAAGTATTATGTTTTTTGGGTCAAAAATGGGAAAAACCAATTTTTACCCCATAAACCCCCTTTCCCAGAGTCCGACAATGCTGGTTCGCGAACTCGTTTCAATAAATGTAGGTTTACACGTTTATACTAAATTTCATCAAAATCAGATAATTTTTGTTTGAATTATTGTGTTAATGGACACACACATATATTTAAATATGTATATTAATATATATATATATATATACAGGGTTGGGTAAATGTGTTGATACCCCTAGTTAACTTTTTAACGCGTTGCAATAGGAAAACCAACTCAGCACATATTTACAACATAAGAAATTGCACTTTTTCATCAAAGTTACAACTTTGCCCCAGCCCCCAAAATGGGGTATTTTGGGGGCAGCCCCAAATTTTCAAATGTAAACACCTATCATGTGACCCATCATTTTAAAGGGTTTATCAAGGGAAATTGGATGGCGCAAACCAGAGGTCAATATCCCACGCATAATCAAAATGGCAGCCATTTTAATTATTTAAGATGAGCAATCATGATAAAGTCTAGACACCCCCAGTGAAATTTAATAAATTAAATATTTTAATACTGACCAAAAGGTGAATTCTCTTTTTTCATAAAGGTATGCTGAGTTTAGTTTTCCTGCTATAACCTGTTAAAAAATTAATAGGGGATATTCCAAAATGACTGCCATTTTGATTATGGGTGCGATATTGACCTCTAGTTTGCACCATTTAATTTGTCTTGAGAAACCATTTAAAATGAGAGGTCACATGATAGGTGTTTACTTTTAAAAAATTGGGGCTGCCCCTAAAATACCCCATTTTGGGGGCCGGGTACAAGTTCTAACTTTAATGAAAAAGTGCATTTTTTATGTTGTAAACATGTGCCGAGTTTGGTTTTCCCACTGCCACACGTTATAAAGTTAACTGGGGGTGTCCAGACTTTATCATGATTGCTCATGTTAAATTAAAATGGCTGCGTGTGATATTGACCTCTGGTTTGCGCCATTCAATTTCTCTCAATAAACCCTTTAAGATGAGGGGTCACATGATAGGTGTTTACATTTGAAAATTTGGGGCAAAGTTGTTACTTTGATGAAAAAGTGCAATTTCATATGTTGTAAATATGTGTCGAGTTAGGTTTTCCTATTGCAACGCGTTAAAAAGTTAACTAGGGGTATCCACACATTTGCCCAACCCTGTATAGTAGAACCTCACCAATTCGAACCTCGATCATTCGAAAACCTCTAAAAATAGTAATGTTTGTTAGCCTCAGAATACCACCAAAATTCAAATAATAATATACCAAAAATTGATTTTTTCGATCATAGCTACCTCTACAATTCGAATAATTCAACTTTTGTTGCTTTTCAGAGTACCCCAGGACTGGTCAAAGGTATCCACCAATCTTGGTAACAGCTGATGAGCCACATTACATGATCCAGTGGTTAGGTAATACTCATTGTCAACTTTCTTTAGCTTTGTAATTTTACTTTTACCATTTAAAGAGAAAAATCTGAAAACATTGAATATTACCCCATCCCTCAATTTTGTTGAGAGTCTAGTTGGACTAGTTATATTATATCTAATTATTTTAATTTTTAATAACCTTAATACCTAATAATATACAGAAATGAGGCATTGTGCACTTTCTTAAACTATTGTTACTGATACATGTGCTCATGGGTGTTGTTAACCTAATTAACATGATTCTTTTTTTGTCTACCGAATTAAGTAGACTTTTTTGCATTTTCAATAAAACTAAAATGGGTGTTTGTAACCATTTTAAACTGAATGGACTCTGCTCTTTTTCAGATGACTCAGGTTATGTCTCCTACATTGATGTCAACAACAACGAGGTTTTCCTTTGAACACGGAGCAGAGAACAATTTAAGGTTTCTTTTTTTCATTATATAAATTACATTTGTATTTGTATAGCTTTAAAGTTATTCAATAAATAAATAATTGGTTTTGCTTGAATTGATTTAGTTTTTTACCTGCAGTTGACAATCAGAAGTACACAATATTTGATTGATTTTCAATTTGATTTTATGTAATTGATCGGATTTTGGAATAAGTAATGAATTTAATTTAGTTTTGTAACTTTAACAATCTTCTCAAGGTACCATTGTTCATATTAAAAATCAAACAGAAAACATTCCAAATCTTATATTTGTATTTCATACTTAAGATCATTACAGTGATATTGTATTATTACCCAACATAACTATATCATGCTGTTTTTGTAACACCTTAGCCAGCTAAACCCAAACATAGTAAAAGACAATGAAAATATCAATAGTGATTTAGTTTGATAGTTACAATAACCTGTTTTAAGATACAATCAACTAAAATTATGTTGACCAAACATAATTTATTGAAAGCTCCATTTTATTGGTTCGGAACATAATCTTATGGTAAAATTCAACAAATGATAGACTATATAATAATTATATCTTTTTGGCACTTTTACCAATATTCAGTTGAATCATTTCATCACCTACAAATGTTACCTATTTCATTTAAATAGAAAATCATCATTACAGTAATTATATTGTAAAAATCTCCCACTGCAGAAAACCTGCAGACTAAGAAAATTTATATTTGCCTAGTTAAATGTTTGGTAAAATATTTCCTAAGAAGTTTTGACATTTCAAATATATTTCTAACTGTACTTAAAAGAAAGTATCCATGAGCGTACCCAGAAAGGTTCAGGGGGGGGGGAGCTGCCCCCCCAAGATAAGGTATGACAAATTGAGATTCAAGAAAAATGAGAAAAGATGAGTAAGAAAGTTTCAAGATTTTTTATAAATAACAATTCCAACAGTAGTAATAAACAGACCAATATCTTGCAATGTTATAAACTAAAAATTTTGTGTAGTATAATGAATTAATATAAACCTATTTTGTTTCATTTTTTAGTTTTAATTTACTTTTAACAATATAATGTAACCAACAAAATTGCTCTAGCGACATAATTTATCAGGCAGTTTTAAAAATAATTTATACATTTCTGGCGTTATAAATAGATGTGAAAAGTTGTCATGGACACAAAAAAATACAGTTATATGTGCATTGCAAAGCTAAGCAACCTGACCTGACCCCATTGCCGCCCACTTTGAGCTAGGTTTATTATATTAACGTGTGAAAATAGTGTAAAAAATGCTAATTTCAACATATTGTTTTAAAAATGTTCGTGGGGAACCCCCGGACCCCCTCCAGACTGGGGAGCATTCCATACCCCAGGGCCCCTGTGGGCCAGCCCCTGTTTCAAGGACGCTCTTCTTGCCCCCCCCCCTCATAGTTTTGATCCTGGCTTCGCCCTTGAAAGTACTGTATCATGTTTCACTTTTATTGAAGTTTGTTAGGAAGAGTGGAGTTCTTTTTTTTAAATTAGCTTTAAAATTCATAAAGAAAAACAAAAAATGGTATAGTTTTGCAAATTGGCTTAAAATGTCAGTTAAGGCTTCTACTTTATCATGAAAGTCCCCTAACGTGGACTTGAGCTTTTGCCCCCATATTGGATTTTAGGTTCAATTTTCTGGTTTTCTTAATTTTCTTATAAAGTATTAACATTTTACTTACCACATGCTGTAACAAAATTAAAGTACACAAAATTTACTACACAAATTGTATTTACAGTTTTCATTTAACTCCAACTGTTTCAGAGAAATGTGTTCTTAAATATGTATTTTTATTATGTATGTTATGTTATGTATGCAACTTAAGTATTGCGAGTTCTCCAATCAGAGACAGCTCTTCTCATCAGATTGTCCTATCCTATTTTTTCAAGATCGATGGGCTTTAGAAACCCAATTTGTTGGAAGCGATTTGCGACTGGCAAGAATTAAACCACAGCCTCTAGAATATTAATGTCACTTTCCGACCACTTGACCAACTACTTTAGCCACAAAATAGGGTCGATATAAAATTGGAATACAGCAATGAAGTGTTTATGGGACAAAAAGCGTAAATCACAAAAACAGGCTAAAAAGCGCAGCATAGAAATATTATACTTGTATGTACAGTAGTTTTATTTTCCAGTTGATACTGTGGGTGAGGATGTTAGAATTTCACCCAATTAATCCCAGTATTGAGTATGGTCATCGATGATATAGAGAAGTTAACTACTGCAATAACACCAACCCAACTGCTAAAGTTTTTGTTGATGTTGGCGAGGTATTGTGTAGGCTTAACAGCTTCAACTTTGCTGATAGTTCTGCCGTCAATTAGAAAACCAAATCGCTGACTGTTGAAAAATCTATCAAGCTATCGTCGCTTTTTTACTATCTCTAGTTAGCGAACAGGTAAGTTCTTGTGCTGTTTGTACTTATTTTTGCTTGCGATATGATGCTAATTTCTATATTTCTACACATATGCAGGGTATCTTATTTGTTACGAGCTGAACTTATACAGTGTGTAACTTGCAAATAACTAAAAGTATGTGTGGATTAATGTAATATATTTAATAGTTCAATATAAAAGATAACACTCAAATCAAAGTTGTTCTGAGTATTGTAGTTAATTTGTGAGATTCTATATACTGTAATTGCAATGCCAAAAGATTTACGTCAGAACATAACATTTCAACATTAATGAATTTAGAATTTGTGACTTAGTTCACACTTACATTCAGATTCGTAAAGGCTAACAAAATACCAGTGATACAAGACGATAATAATTATTCATTCCAACGATGAGCAATAATGAACTTAAACATAAACCACATTATAAACAATTTAGCCGCTCACCGTCAAGGTGCCACCATGACAACCTGCTACTTGCTACCTAAGTTAAAATTGTGGCAGTACTGGAGGTTGCGGCAATTGGCCGCCCCCTCCAACTTCTTATTTTCAGTGGCAAGGGTGCCCACAGGGGGTTTGATATAGCAAGTCGCGACATCCGATTTTTTGGGGGAGATTTTATGATTTTAGGGGGGATTCAAGCCATTGGTTGGTTAGAAGCACATAAAACATTTATCAAATAATCTTTATGACTTCCTTAATTTATTACTGGGGTAATTATACAATCAAAATCCCATTTGAAATTTTATCTTGATAAAAAAATCCTTTTATAATGGCTATAAAATAGGCCTATATTTAAATACTTTTATGTGAATTTCCATTTTCTGACTCGTATCATGTTTAACGATGTGAACCACTCCGTTCCAACTCCTGTCAAAGGATTATGGTTTGCTTATTAAATTTTATCTGCAGTTTGATTCATTCTCAAAATCATTCTCAAATAATATCATTACATTTTATGACCTATATTTTTGGTTGTTTAGGTTTGTTTTCTATACTTGATTCATAGAAACCAGTACAGAATTGTGATAATCATTTTCCGATTTTTACAACATGAACAACAACATGTAAGCTTGTGATGTCCCTCAAGAGTATATTGTCTCTCCCAAATAATTATGCCTGGGTCATTTGATTCTTTGGAAGAAATTGTCATACTGTGACAAAATTTAACTAAGCTGTTTAGTAGGCCGTGTTAATTTTGAGAATGAAAAAATCTATTCTAGGGGTTAATCAAATGGCATTTGTCTTATTGTGTTTTCTTGATTTCAGAAAGAGCTTTAAACAAATAGTATTAATCTTTAAAATAGATATAAAAATGATTTATTTAAAGTTAGGCCTAGTAATAATTTTGGGACTGATATACATATTTGACAACTATTTAAGGCAGATCAAACTCAGACGTGTATTAAGGGGCAATTTAGGTAAATATCTCAAACTTTATGTACTCCAAATTTTAAAACTTTTACTTTCTCTCCTAATTTTCTGTTAGTTCTGAAAACCACAATTATGACACAAGACACAAAGACTGCCTTACATATCCCAAACACAAATCTTCTACCTTTGAACTTTCGCCCCACTACTCGGGTATTAAATTTTATAACAACCTGCCTGATTGCATTAAGTCTGCACCTTCCCTCAGGTCATTTAAACAAAGTTTATTTAAGTTTTTATGTAACAAATGTTGCTACAAGCTCGATGACTTTTTCAGCAGAGTTTTGTATGGCTTATTTATTTATATTATTTTTATATTGGTATTCTTAATAATTGACACTATTCATCTATATTTTGTACATAATGAATAAAGGATGATTTGATTTGATTTGAATACAAGTTAATATGGTAAAAGAATTGTTTATGTAAACATTTTCAAGTTTGCGTTTTCTTTGGATATATCCGTCCCCCTGATCCCAAAAAAAGTGGTTTTCGAAGTGATGTCGGATTGTGTCTGTCTGCATATGGGGATGTGTACAGAGCTACAGACCACACCTGTGGTCCGATTTTGATGACATTTGGTATGTAGGTTACTAATCCATAGCTTCTCCAGGTGTTTTTTAACATTTAAATCTTTAATTGTGATTTTCCATAAAAGCCCATAATAATAGACAAATCAAATTTTCTCAGAACATACCTGAACGATTTGGATTAAAATGTAATATGTTATACTCCTTTTGATTTTGAACATGATGGTATAACCCTTATTGCTGTTAAAAGTACGGTTCAAAAGTTATTGCAACTTTTGTGATTTTCTCTTTTAAAAACCTATTAATTCAATTCACGGAAAATCGGATTTTCAAAATACCGACTTGGTCAATTTTTATTAAAATTGTGTGTATGTTATAGTCCTTTTTACCTCAAATAAAAAAGCCCTATTGCTGTAAAAATTACGGTTTAAACGTTCATGTATTTTTTGTGATTTTCCCAATAAATTATCAAAGTTTCATACTATCTCTGCTTATTCAATCCATGTGATGCTAAGGTTTGTTCATAAGTTAATCGAAAAAGTATGTGTCAGAGTGCTTGCTGATAATTGTTTATTTTTTTCTTTTTGGGTAAAATCTATACCGACTTACTTGACAACCTTACCATAGGCCTAACCTTATACTTTATTTTACTTATTTACTAACCAACGTAATATAAAGTAATTTTACTGAAAATGCAAAAAGATCATTCTAATAA